ACACACACACACACACACACACACACACACACACACACACACACAATGACCACATGACTGCATTTATCTAAAATGCTAAATAGTATACTGATTTACTAAATGTCAAACTGTTACTTTTTTACTAGTACATTGAGTTTGAAATTATTATACATCAATTTGACAACACTGAAAAGGCAGCTGATTTTCAAACAATGCGTTTCAGGCACTGAGCGTGATGGACAGAGGACATTTGGTATCCTCAGGTGCATTTGATATCCTTTCCCTGGCCAATGGCAGCAGGTGAATGGCAGAAAGAGTGGCATTGTGTGTGTGCCAGAGGCTGGTTTTATCTGAACTCCTGGGTTACTTTGCACCACAGGGCATGGCAAGATCTGCATTCTCGTGTGTCTTCATACACTCAGATCAAGACCTGTCTCCTCTTGTTCTATTTTCAATCACTGTTTTGTTATGCTTGTGTAAATCTCATAAAACACAAACATACTGTCAACTAGTTTAGCTTCAGGACCCAAACTTTGCATTCACTGCGAAAAAATAAAATAAAAAATTGGAGAAATTTAGGATTACATCACTTGCTCACCAATGAATCCTCTGCAGTTGCTTCCAGCTAAAATATGAGTCCTCTATCTGTAATATTACTTCCATGAAGATGCCTGTCTGAATCAGGAAAGAAATATACATACATCAAGTACCATTTATAAGTGAAAACAATCCAAAACTGTTCTAAACAAATATGTCAGTGGATTTTGATGAGAGGACAGCAGGGTTTAGACTTTTTTCCTTGAGGAAGCATTATTATGAATTATGGACTCATATTTTAGCCAGAAGTTAAAACGTCTAAATGATAGATTTGTTTCTTACAAACAGCTATTCAATTCACAAAACATGAATTGATGAACTGGAGTCTTGTGGATTATTGTGATGTTTTATCAGCTGTTTAAACTCTCATTCTGATGGCACTTGTTCACTGCAGAGGATTTGTGAGCAAGTAGTAAAGCTAAATTTCTCCAAATTTGTTCTGATGGTGTAACAAACTCAGCTACATTTTGGATGGCCTGAGGGTGATTACATTTTCTGAACTGTTCCTTTAACTGAACTTAGTCAAGGTCTATAGAATTAGATGTGTCAGAGTAACTCAAATGTCTTTCATTTCACTTGTGGTTAGCAATAACACACATTAGCATGCTAAATAGCATTGTAACTATATGCACATGTGTAGTGTTTGCATATAGAGTACATGAGAAAGAAGCAGGCAAATCCAACTGATAAGTCTTATTTTGCTATCTTAACGATGCACAATTATATAGTTATTTGGATTTAACACTATTTTTTCTAATGTTTGAGATTTACATGATCCTCTTAAGCCTAAAGACTGCCCGTACCTTATAATTCAACTGTCTCTCTGTTCTTCTGTTTTTGTCTCTCTGTGTTTCTCTGTTATTTCTCTCTGACAGCTGAACAGATTCATTCTAGACAATTATCACTTGAAACCACAGTGAATGATCAGCAATTTGTGATGAAAGCCATTTTATGCCATGCAAAGATGTCAATAGAAAGATTACCTTTTTGCAGCAGTTAACTTAATAATTACTTTGACATGACAATTGGCAGTGAAAACACAAACTCAACTATGAGTCTTCTGTTTGGCACATTTGAGGCTAATTGTATTGTTGTAATTGGGAACACACAGGGAACACTGAATTTAATTATGTTATAGCAGTCAATGGCAAACACAACTCAACAAGTCTTTGCCAGTTATTTCGGTGGATGTTATCAAAGAAGCAAAATCAATGCTGGTTAGCATTTTTCAGTTAGCAGCCACCGGATGCTGATGGAATTATATCTGGCCTTTCTCAGCACTGAGCTGTTTTACAACATCGAGAGTCACATAGAGAGTATTTGTATGTACTGAACTGCAATGTATGTTTAAAAATATATACAGTATATGATATTTTTAAAGGGGTCATATGATGTTGCTAAAAAGAACACTATTTTGTGTATTTGGTGTAATGAAATGTGTTTATGCGGTTTAAGGTTAAAAAACATTATTTTCCACATACTGTACATTATTGTTTCTCCTCTATGCCCCGCTGTAACACTTCAAAGAGAAAGGAAAAATTTAAATCGCATCATATGACCCCTTTAAAAATACATATATATCTATTTTTTACTCTCTCTCTCTCTCTCTCTCTCTCTCTCTCTCTCTCTCAACCTTGACCTCAACTTAGAAGTGTTGTTTATACACTTTTGTAGAAGTTATTTTTTTTTTAATTTTCATTTATTCTGTTACACCAAATACACAAAATAATGATCTTTAAAAAAGCATCATATGACCCCTTTAAGTAATTTTCTTATAATATTTGTATTATTATTTTATATTTCTATTTAGCTTTATTTTATTCTAATTTGATCTAATTTTAGTTTTCAGCTTTATTTTAATTACAAAATGTTTTTTTTAAATAGATCTAGTTAACAATTACACTTGTTTAAATATTCACTGGGTAACAGCAAAAGAGGAGTGTTTTGAGGCCTATAAGATTCATCAACAGGGAAACAGGTCCTCAGTCGCCAAAGGGAAGACTTACTGACCCCTCTATTGTTGTTACACCTCCCCAGAGAAATGTCCCACAATGGGATCCTCTGAATTAAGACCTAAACCACTCTGACATATTTCAACATATTCAGCCAACCATGGCAACAAGTGGTCATGTAGCCAGCAATTCTCATTACCTGAACACCTCTTCAAAAGGCATGTTTGGTCAGTCTAGCTAGAATTACCATAGCAGAAAAAAATGTGTTTGTGTTTATAACTGTACGTGTCTACACATACAAAAAGCTCAAATTAGTCTCCAGAGGCAGGGATGACCTCTTTTTCTGGTGCATTGTATATCACACGGCGAGTGGCAAGGCCTTGGTAATGTTTTATTGTCACAAGGGATTGTTTCACACTGTGGAGTGCCCTAGGTGTATGTTTTGTGCTGCTCTCTACTATCACTCAAGGAGATCATTACAATCTGATTAAACCAGCTCCAGACTCCAAAGACAGGGGATTGTGGGAAAAAGCACACCTTCTTAATATGCTCAATTTCAGCTGCCCTGAAGAACAACACTGGGATAGCCAATTTAAAAGACAGGCATTTGGGTTCTTTTAGACTTGATTTTGATGGACCACAGGCACACGGTTGAAGGAAGAAAATGGAAAACAAACCCTCAAAGCCCATTATGCCCTCTGGCATGTATAATGAAGACACTGCAACAATTATTAGTAAGCAGAGTATTTCTAATTGCATTACAATGGAAATTCTGTAGCCTCTTGCCTGATGTGCTCAATAAAGTTTCATTCTCATTTAGCCAAATGAACTTGGGGAGAAGAAACATTGGTGCTCATCATCATTCAAAGCATCAGGGAATGAATGTGTCTGAAATCTGTGCCTGCAACATCGGACTACCTTGAGTTGAATATTGAAAAGACTACCACAAAATATTTAAGTTCAGTTAACGTTACAGGCTATATTGTTTATCAGTTTTGATTAAATAAGTTTAGTCTCAAATATATTACCTCGGTTTTCAGCATTTTTATTGCAAGGAGAAGACACTCCGGTTGCTTACTTTCATTTGGAACGACCATTCGAGTTACGTCAATTTACCGCAAAAATAAAATGTCAATTTGCCCTTTGTTGGGGAAAACTTTTGCACCAGATACCACCTTGTTGGAGTGCGCTGAAGTGTTTTCCAAACACAGCACGAGTGATATCTGATTCACGAATAAATGATTCTTAAGATCCGGATCTTTTAGTGAGTCAATCAAACTGATTCACAAAGCAGGCCTGATTGTTTTTGTTGTTTTTCAATTATGTCCGATTCCAAATAAACCGGGAACTTTTTACCGTGTTGTGTTAAAGACGTCATTCTGTTTACTAATTGGTTGTTTACATGACACTGTGTAAATAAAG